GCTTCATGTCCATTAGTCCTTGTAACGAGTGATTTCGTGCATCTTTGATTGTCTTTGCTTTCTGTGCTGTGGACCAGGAGAGCAATGGTTGCATTTTGGATGGTCCCTTGGAAGCTTTGAAGACCCCAGTCCTTACTCATCAAAGTAGGATGTGGAGCCTTGTCTTTGACCTTCGTGTCCCCCAAGATCAGGGTCTTAAGCCCCCAGTGACTCATTCCCTAAGGTGTTCTGTGATGGTTACAAAGGCTGCTTTTGCCCCATTTGTTCTATAAATTATGTACATCGATATATTTACAGCACATACAAGTATGTATGTAGAAATATTGTCTGCCAAACCTTTATAGGGTTGTGACTATAAAAGGTAAAGAACCCTGGTGGCGTAGTGGCTATGTGTTGGACTGAAACCCACAAGGTCAGCAGTTCAAAGCCATCAGTTGCTCTGAGGGAGAAAAATAAGGTTTTCTACTCCCGTAAACAGTCTCAGAAACCCGCAGGCAGCAGTTCTACCTTGTCCTGTAGGGTTGCTGTGGGTATAAAAGGTGAGCGAAGTCCCCTTTGACTACTCCTAGCCGTTTATCTTGCCCGTCTGCCTTTGTATCCATTTGTAGAGGACTATTTGTTACTATTGGTAATACACGATTGCATGCACAATGCATCTGTACTTGCTTTGTTGTAACTCTTGTGTACCTCTGTTTTCTTTTTCTGTAGCGAGTGTGCTCAGCCCCTTATGATCTATTCACCTTTTCCTTCACCCATATTAATGTCTAGTCGGCATGGACCAGGTAGATGACAGTCAGGGGTAGTGGATTATCTAGCTAGTGATTTTTTCCTCTCCTCCCTGTGTATCCTTGGTTAACTATCAAATAATGTTTTTTTTTCCCTCTGTGTAAATATTTCCTTGGTGTTTTGTAGTAGTGAATTAATACAATATTTATCCTTTTGTGATTGACTTGTGTCACTCATATCTTCCAGATTCACCCACATATGAAGTACATTGTGGGGTCTTCATTATTCTTCAACACTGCATAGTATTCCACTGTCTGTATGTACCATAGTGTGTCCAGTCATCTGTTGATTGGAACTGAGGTTGCTTCCATCTCTTTGATATTGTAAATAATGCTACAGTGAACATTGGTGTGCCCATCTGTTCATGTCCCAGATTCTTTGTATGGATATATATCTAATGGTAGAATTTCTGGATCAACTGGCATTGCTATCCCCAACTTTTTTCAACGTGTTTTCCTTAATCATTTTATTGGGGGTTCGTACAACTCTTATCACAATCCATACATACATTGTGTCAAGCACATTTGTTGCCATCATCATTCTCAAAACATTTGCTTTATGCCTGAGCCCTTGGTATCAGCTCCTCATTTCCCCCCTCCTTCCATGCTCCCCCTTTCTCTCATGAACCCTTGATAATTTATAAATTATTTTATCATATCTTACCTAATCCCTTCGCCTACTTTTCTGTTGCCCATCCCCAACTTTTAAAGGAAGTGCCATATCATTTTATATATAGGTTGCACCAGCTGTGTTTGAAGGTTCCAATCTCTCCACACCCTTTCCAATATTTGTTGTTTTCCATCTTACTGAACTTTGCAAGTGGTGTTGTGGTGATGGGTTGGGCTGCTAACCTCAAGGTTAACAGTTTGAAACCACCAGTGACTCCTTGGGAGAAAGACGAGGCTTCCTACTCCCAGAGTTATAGTCTCAGAAACCCACAAGAATAGTTCTACCCTGTGCTATTAGAGGGTGGCTATGAGTCAGAATTGACTCGCTGGCAGGGAGTTGGGTTTTGATTGTTGCTGACAAGCACTGGCGGTACAGTGAGTTAGCAGTTGGACAGCTCACCAAAAGGCAGGTGGTTCAAATCCACTAACTTTTCATGTCTGCTCCCATATTGATTAGCAGTCTCGAAAATACTATGGGGTAATTCTGCTCTGTCCTATAAGGCCACTACGAGCCAGAATCAACTTGAGAGCAATGGGTTTATTGCTGGCAGTGATGAATTTCATTGTTAGGATTTGCATCTCTCTATGGCTAATGGTCACTAGCAATTCTTCATGTGTGTTGACTTGCCTGGATGAATTCTTTGGTGAAGTGTCTGTTAATATCCTCTGCCCATTTTCTAGTTGGATTGTCTTTTTATTGTTGAGGTCTTGAGGTTGCTATAAGTTTTTGAGATTAGTTTGTCTGAAAAGTTGTTGCAAAAAACACCCCCCCCCATATTCTATAGGTTTTCTTTTTATTGTTTTGGAGAATTCTATGTACATTAGTAATTGATTTTCAGAAGTAATTAATTTCCAGTCATCTACTCATCTTCTGCTGCCCTTGCATTTTTGGTTATGTTTGATATTCTATTATGACATAAATTAGGGTCTCTACGTTTGACCTTTTTTTTCCCTTTGATGATCTTTAGGGTTTTAGGTTTTACATTTAGGTCATTGATCATCTTGAGGTCATTTTTCGTATACAGTGTGATACAGATCCTGTTTCATTTTTCTGCAAAGGGATATCCAGTTTTTTCAGCACCGTTTGTTAATAGACGGTCTCCTCCCCATTTAATAAGTTCTGATCTTTTGACAAAAACCAGATGTCCATAGGTGGGTGTATTTACTTCTGTTCCATTGGTCTATGTGTGTGTGTTGTACTGGTACTAGGTGTCTTGACTATTGTAATTATGTAGTAGGTTTTGAAATCGGAAAAAGTGTGAGACCTCTTACTTTGTTCTTCAGTAGTACTA